ATGCCAAATCGTCCAGCTTTAGTAGGGAAACGGAGATTTTTTCAAACGTGTGTTGGTGTTGAATCGTCAGCTCAATAAAAAGGGCATCAAGCAGGGCAGCCGACTAAAATACTAAAAGGGAACCAAGCGTCGTTTTATTTCTCTCGGCTGCTCCTTTGCCTCTTTGCACGCTCGAATTACATCAGCGCAGCAGCAGCAGCAGCGAGTGAGGTCATTTTTTTTGCCCCCGTGCATGCGCGCAATTAAATCACAGAGCGGAGGAGGAAGCCAAGAAAATGAGAGAGAGGAAACGCGCAGAGCCAGGTGCACTATACGGTTTTAGGAAGACTTGTTGACAAGTTGATTTTCAACCGGCACAGTCAATTAACTAACGAGAGCAAATTAAATTTAGATGCTAATAAAATGGCAAAGTTGAATTAAATTATTCAATTAAAAGTTGAATCACTTTGACCTACGGAGGAAGAAACAAAAAATCAAGTTTGGTCTCTGCATTTCATTGAGTGCAGTAAGCAATCCATTAAGATTGCTGATGTTTTTGCCTAAATGTTCAATTATGAAATGAGCAGTTCTTGAGCTGAGGAAAAAAGTGAGCAAACTGGCAGAAAGAACAATATCAAAATGAGAATTCCCAAGAGAGACAACAGAAAAATGTTTATTGTGCCAGTTATTTTTACGCGAAAAAAAAATTATTTTGTAGATTATTTTTCCAAGTAATGAACCTTTCATTCAATTTAAGAAAATGAAAAGCAAAATAAAAAAAAATTCGTAAACGTAAATTAATGTTAAAAATTACTTTAAATTTCAATTTACATTAATTTTATTCAAGTAAATCAAAATCAGTCACACTCAGGTCAATTTTTAATAGCTGATGGGGCTTTTGATATAGATAAACGTGAGAATGTTATTACAAGTGTCACAATTTTTCATATAAAATTTAAGGTGCTGAAGGAATTCATGACAATTCAATTTACTGCAAAATTAAATATTTTCACCGAGTGCCAAGTTATGACCTTATGGGTGTCAAAAGTACATTTATTCTTGATGCTACTTTTCGCGCGTAATCACGATTTATTGCACTCGGCGGATGCCCGAAAATAGGCCAAGTATTACACATTGCGCCATTAAAAGGGGTGAAATTGCATCCATCTGATTTTTCTCGCCGTCTCTCTCGGATCTTTTATGCTTTCCTTGCAGAGACGTACACATAAAACGAGAAAAGCAGCGCCTGCAAACATAATTTTATACGCGACACACACAGCCGGAAAAGAAGCGACAACTTTTACGACACGAGTTTTATCTTCAGCCCTCGTGGGACGCGCGCGGGGCTCGGTCAAATGTCGCCCGCAAGGGGCGCAATGGCCGCCGCGCGAATATAAAAAGTGCGCCGCGGCTCGTCATGTGTATGATAATGTCGGAATGCAGTTGTGAATTACTCATGTGCTGCTGGGACCTAACGGGCCGCGCACACGTTTATTATGCATTCGCGTATACACGGAAAGAAAATAAAATACGCAGAGGAGTGTCACTGTGTGCGCGTGTTTTTCGCGAGAGACACGCACGAGGCTTGACGGACGCTTCGTGACGTTCGTCAGGCGACACGAATGCATTTTTCTCAATTTGACAAAAAGCAGTACACGCTTAAATTGGGCATGCGTGTGTACAAAAAAAGCTTGTAATTCTGTACAATTGTACAAATAATAATATAAAAATGTTTTTTTTTTATGATACAAAATTATTTGTTTTTAATCATATCACATTAATTAAATTCCAGTTTAATTTATTTCAACTGATTATCAATGAAAAAAAAAGAATGCTGAAATTGAAACAAAGAAAATTTAAGTTGATTTTTAAATAATTTTTATTTCTCAAACAAGGTAATTAAGGGATTCTTCACGTAAGTGCTTGAGAAATATTATTTTAATTTATTAAAATTTCCTATTATTCAGAAATTGTAAAAAAAAAAATATATTCATAAATTTTGGTTAAAATTTAAAATTAGGGCCCCCTTAAAAACTTAACTAAATTATTAACTTTAAAGATAACCTATGCAAATTATAATTTAAAAAAAAAATTAAAATCTGCGCTTTAAAAATAAAAAAAGAGAAATACCGGAAAGACCTTGAAAGTAACATTTTAGTTGTTCGAAAGTTGTCACTCATTTGCTGACAATTAGCAAATTGGTACCTCCTTTTTCAAACCTCAGCTTTATTATTTTTCGTTTTCGTCTCCAAGAACCGCAGAACAATAAATCTGTTTTGCTCCGTCATAAAATAATTGACTTTAATTGCCGACCGCCGCCATTCCAAACTGCAATTATGAATTTCCTGTCATCTCCGTGCTTAGCAAAGCATCGCGACTTCACTTGAGCTGTCAGTAAAAATGTACACAATTATTTTACTCGATGTGTGTTCATGACTGCATCAAAGATTCCAAAAGCATAATTTTATTATAAAATATGATATCGGTTAAATTCGACAAATTTGATTAGAAATTTTCAGTCAAGTTATTTTTCTACCTAAATTTATAAAAAGTAATTTGAATCTTCAAATATTTACTAAGTAAATTAGTCTATTCCTGGCAGTGGAGAAAATTTCTATTCCTCCAAAGCAGTTTTGCACATAAATCGGATTTGCAGAACCCAACCCATTCCGTATCAATGTCTGCAGCTCTCGGCAGATTTATTTAAATTATCACCTCGCATCTGCTCTGCCAAGAATTCTCTCGCAACCGTATGTCGGTTCAAATCCATCAAACAAATCCCAGCTTCAGCTGATCCAGACTTGAGACCGCACATCCATTTCGCAGAATTTCAGCAAGATTAAGCGACTGTTTACTCTCATTAACCGTCATTACGTCTGGGCTTTTCATTGCTATTGTTGTACTTGGAGCCTAAAAGCAGAGCAGAGATTCGCACGCGAGCGAGACAGCAAAATGACAAACATTACAGTATGTGCAGACATCACGCACACACACATGCGAGTTCCTTCCTAAAAGTCGAAATTATCTGTCAAAATGTTGCGAGTCGCATTCTCGCTTGAATGCAAACAAAAAGGACAAACGACAAAAGCTTTGTTTGCCTCGGTTTGAGCAGAGATTTGAAAAATATTAACTCACTTTAGGTTTAGGGAGTAAAACTGAAGAGACAATATCAGTGAAAATTTACTTAACTGTTAAAAAATAGCTCCTATTTCAATGAAAATGTTAAATTATCAAAAATACTGCATAAATTGTTCAATTTGGAATCATTTCAATTGAAAAACACTTCACATTTTCATAACACACTTCTCAATTTTAATATTCAATTATTTGTAATTTACCTTGCTCGTTTTTTGATTTCAACCAATTGAATAATATCATTTAAACTGAAGTCTGCAAACAAAATAAATCAATTGTGAGATAAAATAGTAAAAAATGAGGTAGTTGAAATCTGGAATGAAGCAAAAAATTATTTTTAATTTGATGTAACTAATTAAGTTATTCGGTTTAAATAACTAAATAGAAAAAATAAGATAAAAATTAATTATTTTTACTATGCCAACCTCTTATTGAATAAATGAATTGATTTTAAATATAAAACAAATTAATCTGCTTTAGATATCACAACTTTGATTATTCATTGCTGAGCGAATTAATTAAACGCCAATCAAAGGGTTGTTCGGAAGAGTTATCAAAAAAGTTTGTTCAGCCTGCCGCGAGTCAGACTTTAGATTAATCGGAGCACGCGCTCGTCGCGAATCTCGATTAAATATTCAGAGCACAAATTCAATTACGCTTGATAAGCCGGCACAGCGCCATGAATCTGATAAATTCCAAACGTGTGTAAGATTTCCGAAACTTCTTTTCCATACACTGAGTGTATAAAATAATATGAAAGAAAAAAAACCAAAACAACCGCTCGACGGTCGAGAGTCGTGATCAAAAATCTGGCAGCGTCTCTTCTCTCTGGAGGAGGCAATGGCTCTACAGGTGCCTAACGGGTTATTTAAATGACGCAGCTCATCGCGCGCGCCTTCTTCGTGCACTTTTGTTTGTCCAGCGGAAACAAGAAGTCCGAAGAGAGGAATTAACGTGGCGTGATATCGTCGAGACTGATTTTTGGCCAGAATTATACACTTTGGCACCAGACCTTGAAGGAAACTGAAATGATTTATTCACGGTTGCTCAAACTTTCGTCTGAAGTAGTTTCGGGAATATATAAAAAATTGATGCATTGTTTTGGGATGAAAAAATGTTTTCAATGTCAAAAGTGAGATTAAAAAAATAGAATAAAACAACTATAGTCAGTTTTAAAATATTTCAGTATTATAAAAAAATTACTCTTAACCATATAAAAAATGATTTGGTTTGATTTCGAATTATTTTCATTTATTAATTAACCCTTTTTTCTATTGTAAATTCAAATAGCAATGTATTAACTTTTATTTCTAAATTTATTATAAAATTATATTATTTAAAAAGCGTTTTAATTTTGCTGAATAAGATTTTCATATCGTAGAATAAATTAAAAAGTTTTTATCTAAATTACATCGATTGATCCATAATAACATTGTTCTCATATTTTCTTTTAGAATAATTATATTTGAGGAAAAAAATAAACGAAATAAAAATAAAAATTTAAAAAACAAAAATCAACAATACTTTTTCGTACAGAGAAATTTTTATTTGGTTTCATAATTTTTTTCGATTTTTTATTTATTATTTTATTCATTGAATTAATTAACCCAATCTTTAACTTCATAAAGTATCATACAATTTCCAATAAATAATCAAATTTCTTAATCATTTTATATCTTCTTTTTTTCTTTCCGTATGAAAATTATGAAGCGAAGAAAATTCATACATAATTTTACACAATCTTTGCAAAATTTAATTTGTTAGTAAATTCAAAAAAATTTAATTTTAAAGGACCGGCACACCGGTTGATCAGCTGTGGGATTCGAGGAATTTGCACTTGAGATGAAAATGAGATTGATTTATTTCGTATAGAAAAAGGTACCGACCTGTTCCGTGACATCCCTGGGCAGATACTTGATGAGCAGCTGACGACCCTGGTGGAATTTGCGCTTGAGGGCGGCCACTTGGCGCTTGACCGCCTCCTCAGGCGTCTCCTCGAAGAAGGCGGCCGCCGTGGTTGCGGCCGCTGTGGCCGTCCAGAAGGCTTTGTCGCCGCCGCCGCCGGGTTTGAGCAGGGCGGCCTGATGCACGGACGTTGTTTCGCCGGTGGCCATTGAATCTCCTCCGAAGGGCGCTCTCTTCACTGCATCGCACGCTAACACAGGCACCGCGACCACTGCAGAACCCGATCTGACAGGTCAAGACACGCACTGCCGGTCTCCACTTGGTTCTCTCGCGCCCTTGCCCGACACCAGGCGACCTACGCGCCACCGCCGGCTCAAGCGGAGGCTCGCAAAACGCCTGCGAAGTGCGAATGGAGTGTAGGATAAGGAGACACCTGCCGGCGAATACCCAAACAAACTGCGCCCTTTGCTTCGATTGTGAAAATTGAACCGCGGAAATAAAAAGTTTCTTTAGAAAAGCAGTGTTTAGAATTAAAATTAAAACAAAAAAGGCTCAAAGCGGCGCCGGATGATGGTGTCGTTTTGTCCAACAATTCCTTCTTTATTTATTTTTATACTATGATTTTTTTTCAAATTTTTTAATACGTGATGTAACAGTCGTTATATAAACAAACAACAATAAAAACTAAAAAGTCAAAAATGGCAACATAACTTATTTACTTTAACATTTCAAGACTAAGCTCCCCCTCCTCTTTTGGGCCAGGATGGCCAGATTGTGAGACTTTTTTGTATGAAAATCTTTTCATTTATGCTCGCGTCAAAAGTAAGAACGCTTTTTTTTTCTGATAATATTTGTCAATAATTTCAGTTTCAAAAAATATTTCACCCCCTAATAAACAGTATGTGTCTCTTTTCAAATGTATTTCAGCTTTTTCTGTAATTTTGTTATGATTTTTTTCCATATATATTGAATGGAGAATGATGAAATAAATTGAGGCATAACTTAGAAATCTATACAAATAAGGTATTACTAAATTTTAGATATATTTCAGAGAAAAAAAATTGATAGTAAATATTATTTCATAAAATTTTATTTAACCAACCAATTTTTATATTGCTTGTTTTTTCTTTTATTTTTTATGCGACTTTACATTGTCAAATATTTCTACGGATATTCGCAAATAAACCTCATCAAATAATCGGTGCAATACACATCTTCATAGCCTCCAAGGATTGGGTCGGGGTAGAAGGCGAGGCAATGGTCTACTGAGTTGTCCGTCCTGGAAGGTTTCCTGAAGCTCCAGTCAAATTCGGTGACCTCTGCGCCGGACGGCTGCCAGTAGTAAGTGTCGGTATTGGCCTTCTTCACAGCACTGGTCCAGTAGTGGTTGTAGCTGTTATTACCTTTAAATTATAAAATTAATTTTAGCTGTTTTTTACACGTGTTATTATAATTGTGTGTCACGATATAATAATGTATATATTGAGGATAAAAGAAATCCTGAAGTGGCGAACCTTGAGTTAAAATCCAAGACCTAATCAGCTCCCATTTTCCAGGCTCATCGAAGGAAATCATGGTCATGTTCAGCTCACCGCAGTTACTGATACCAATCCACGAGTGCTCAATTCCACCGTCGACGAAATATGTAGTGCCATTAATATCAACAAAATCCCGAGGGTCTTGAAAAAATTAATTTAATTAATATATTAATTCAATATAATTTTTACCAACCGATTGAGTGTTCTTCAAAAGGAGAGCTGAAGACTGCCTTTTAATAAAATCAAATTATATAAACTTAAAAGCTTTGAGGAGAAATCTACTTACTTGGTGGCCAACAAACACCACAAAAAGAATCAGCAGAGATTTTGAAATCATCTTATATTCCTCCTAAATCTCAAAAAGCACTATGCGGCTATCAGGCGTCCAATTTCGTCTTTTATAATTTATTCCAAGACTTTATATTATCTTATCTCATCTCACACTGAAGAAATGTACCTAGAGTGTTGTTCGCCTCCGATTTGGATTTTGGATAAAATTGGACTCAAACCTCGTGCGACTCTTGTACCTGCTATATTCAAGTGCTGTGGCTAAAAAGATGACTGGACAGTTTTAAATATCAAATGATAATTAGATCTATAGATATCTGCAAAATGGATCTGCAGGAATTCTAAATCTTTTAATAAATATTAATAGTCGTCACAAATTAATCATTCAATTTATAAATAATATTATTTAATTATAAAATTTAATATTATTTCTATGTTAAGATAAAAAAAATCATCCTACTTTTTCTTGACCTCTGAAATAATGCAACCATTAGGGGCCTTGCATGAAGTTGCGTGCGAAACTGACGCCGTACTTCATGTTGTCAATGTTAAAAAAAATATATTTAAAATAATTACACAAAATTTAATATGTATGCTAACGTTAGAAAACTTGACCTTACTTCAGAAATCCCAATTTTAAGGTAAATTAAAAAATAAATTACAAAAGGTAACAATTTGCTCAAAATTTATTAAAAAAAAACATCCCTACAAAAAAAAAATTTGTTTTCTGATTTTATTGAATCTTTATTGTTTTTTCTTCTTCTTTTATTCAATCCTCTTTTTATCAAAATTTCTACGGATATTCGCAAATATACTTCATTAAATATTCAGTGCAATAAACATCTTCGTGGCCTCCGAGGATTGGGTCAGGGTAGAAGGCGAGGCAAAGGTCAACTGAGTTGTCCGTGATGGAAGGTTTCCTGTAACTCCAGTCAAATTCAGTGACCTCCGCACCGGATGGCTGCCAGTTGTAAGTGTCGGTATTTGCAGCCTTCACTGCACTGGTCCAGAAGTGGCTGTAGTTGTAAGTACCTTAAATTATTTTTTATTATAAATTTAATTTTAAAAATAATTTAATGAAAGTTTCTTATTGCTCAAGGGAGGGAAAAATACTCAAATCTGTAGTCGCAAACCTTGATCTAAAATCCAAGACCTAATCAGCTCCCACTTTCCAGGCTCCTCAAAGGAAATCACAGTCATATTCTTGAAACCGCAGTTTCTGACGGCAATCCAAGAGTGTTCATTTGAACCGTCGAAGAAGTATGTGGTACCGTTAATGTCAACAAAATTCCGCAAGTCTTTAAAAAATTTATAATATTATGGAATATATTTTTCAACGTAATTTTTTCACCAACCCTTTGACTGTTCTTCAACAGGAGAGCCGATGACTACCTTTTATAAAATAAATTATAATAAACTTTCAAGTTTTGAGGTGAAATCTATGGCTTACTACTTACTTGGTGGACAAGAAACGCCACAAAAAGAAGCAGCAGAGATTTTGGAATCATCTTTATTTTCCTCATAAATCTCACAAAGCACTATGCGGCTATCAGGCGTTTAATTTCGTCTTTTATATTTTCCACGATTTTATATTATCTTATCTTAATCGCACTGAAGAAATGAACGTAGAGAAGTAGTCCGCGCCTTCGATTTGGATGAAATTAAACACATCAAAACTCGTACAGCGCTTTTAATTACTCAAGAACTGAGACTAGAAAGGTCATGGAGTTTTTATAATGACTTCTCAATTAATCCGATAAATTTTTGTCACAGGTATAATGCAATCCAGGGGAATTTTTTAATTTGTCTAAAAAGTAAAAATGATATTATTTTGCCTATCAATGATGCGTTAGTCCAGAATTATTTGTATTATCATTACTCTTGCTTTTTAAAGTCAGCCTTATTTAAATTTTATAACTTTTTAAAGGATCTGATTAAATAAAAATCGCCAATTTTTCTTGAATTTTTTTATTTAGTAATTTATTGCCTTTTTAATCCAGTTATATCCAGTCAAACTCAAAGCTACTTGAACATTGATTTTGCAATAAGCAATGAGATTGTAGATTTATCGAGAGGGTCTTGGCACAATTTTGCAAACCATGCCCGACGCTATGAGATTTTGGATGGAAATTTTTTGATTGCTTTTAATGATAATTGGGGACAAACTTTGAATACCAGAGATTTAAAGATTTTCAAATTTCTAACCACACACATATTGATTTTAATTGGTAAATGGCTGGCATAATTTTTAAACCTAACATACATATATGGACATTCAGTTGGATGGAAATCTGTAAAGATCATCTCTCGTGTTCACAATATTTAGATTAATAGTTAATGTATCGATCCGGGAAAACAGCAACTTACAAGACAGTTACAGGTACAAATCTCTACAACACATATAATTTACAATCACTAAATATTTATTTAATTTTCGCTTACATTGCATTGTGAATATTTGAGTTTTAGGAGCTAATTTTCAAAAGACATGTAGAAAATGGAGTTTAAACTAAAACATGAATGTAAATTCAGCAGTCAGTTATGCTTAATTGAAAGAGATGTGATATTTACAAATAGTGATATAATTAAGTATATGTAGCTCTACTAGGTGAATTTCAATAATTTAATAGATGTTACAAGCATATTATTATTCATTATATATTTATGTATGTTTTATGTTACTTAATTTACAGCTAATGCTAAGAAGAATGACTTTTTAATTAATCAAAAATGTTATCAGGATGGAAACCTCAAGAAGTTGTTTTCATCAGCAGGGATTTCCAACCAATTGTTTTTATTTAATGCTGGGTGAGATTAAATTTACTGATAGCTGCGCACTTTTGAGGTTGAATTTCCAGATTTTTTTTCCTTTTATTTACATGCCAATCAAATCACGCTCCATAGGTAGGTGGTGTTCACTTGCAGGTGTGAAGATCGATTGTGGTCTCGCAGGTCTTGCACTTGACGTAGCAGCACCACACAAATTTGCAATGACACCTTTCTATGTGCTTCTTCACCTGAAGATAAAAATAATAATATTAGAAAAAATGACATTTCGTGATCAAAAAAATTTAAAATACTTTTAGAATTGAGGAAATAAAGTTTTTATATAAAAATATTTGCGCCTACAGCACGTGGTGTTCCCAGGCGGTCACCCATCCAGGTACTAACCACGCTCAACGTTGCTTAACTTCAGTGATCGGACGAGAACTGGTGTTTTCAACGTGATATGGCCGTAGGCACCGATGAGTACCACACAATCCTCGAGCGACTGTGCTCTCCTGGTGCTCGCCAAAAATAGAGACCAGTGAGCTCAAATGTAAATGAGCACCAAAATGGCTCTTTTTAAATATGAAAAAATAATAATCAATAATAAAAATTTAAAAAAGATTAATTTTGGTGCTCATTTATTTTTGAGCTCATTGGTCTCTATTTTTGGCGAGCACCAGGAGAGCACAGTCGCTCGAGGATTGTCTGGTGCTCATCGGTGCCTACGGCCATATCACGTTGAAAACACCAGTTCTCATCTGATCACTGAAGTTAAGCAGCGTTGAGCGTGGTCAGTACCTGGATGGGTGACCGCCTGGGAACACCACGTGCTGTAGGCGCAATTTCTTTTCATTTTAGTATATTTTGTTCTTCATATTTCAAATATAAATCAAGTAATACACTCGCATGTGTATTTTTATTTAAACAATGAAGCTACAACTTGACCTTCATTAAATAAAAAAAAATTTAGTGCAATAATATTTAAAAATAAAACCCAATAATTTAGAATTTCTCTCTTGCAAATATAAAAAGTTTCCACAGTCTATTCTGTTTAGTACCTGAGTGTTGTAGCCCCGTCCGCAGCAGAGAAGGTCACAGCTGTCGGGCCCTGTTGATGATTTATTGCAGACGCGGCCAGCGGTGCCCGGGATCCCTTTGCCTGCGTCCTCTACGCAGTAGTTTGGTGACTTGTGGATGTGCACCAAGTCACCCTTATTCACAGGGCCTCCCCGTTTGGTCTTGCTTTTGCGGCGCAACCTTTTCTTCGCCTTTGCAGCCACCTAGAAAATAGATTTTTACATAAAATTTTGCTTAAAAAATTACTAGTTATTAAAAATAAATTTTTAATAATATTGGAATAATTTCTCTAAAATATATACTTATAAATAATGACTTTTTTCTAATTAATAAATATAAATAAAACCACTACAGAAATGACAGGCCTCACTCTCGTTGAAAACCAGAAACCGCAAAATTTACCCAACCACAGGCAAACAAATATTCAGAGTTCAATTTGATATACCAGCCAGCACACCATGCCAATATCGAATTTGTTTTGTCCTCACCGGTCTCACCTGGACAGCCAGGCGGTACTTGTTCTTCAGCAAGTCTCCGACCTCGCTGAACGAGGGCATGGTCTGCCAACAGGTTTTGAGTTCGCAAGAGCCGGACACCCCGTGGCACCGGCACTGCATCTTCATCAGGGTGGACACCACTTGCCGCCCTGCCGCGTTGTTGTGCAGGTTCATCTTGGCGCGGATGCTGCCCGGCTTGCGCTTTTCCAGCACGTCCACAAAGTTGCGTGCGAAACCGACACCATACTTCATGTTGTCACTGTGTAAATAAAAGAATTAAAAATAATAAAACAAAGTCAAAGAGATAGGATTCATAATAATTCATATATTATTTGTGGTCATTTTTTTTGCAGTCCTATATTTAAATAAAAAACAAAAAAAAATGTAAAATTTGTGAAGATAAAACAATAAACAATGTGTATTCATTTTTTTTCTAATATATTTTAAATATAATTTAAATAATAAAAAAACATTGAAATAAATAAACATTTATTTGCAAAATTTTTATTAAATAACTCAATAAAAACAGAAAAAAAACACATTTTAACTTTATTATTTTATACTTTTTATACACGTGATTAAAAAACTTAATCAATAAACCCATTTTTGTTATATATGTATAATTCAGTACTTGCCTGCAGCCACCCCATTTCCAGCCTTCGCGGGTAGACTGGCCCTGCTTGCTGGCGTCGCAACTGCAGTCAGTCAGGTTCCCTGAGCTGCAGGCCTGGGTCACGGCGTGCACGACTCCGGCGCTGGTGACCGCGTATATGAAAGCGGTCTCTTTGCTCCCTGCAACAAAAAGAGTCACTTTGTAAATATTGGATATTAAAAAAATTAAAAGTTTTTATTTTTATCAAAAATGGTTTGTGCCTACAGCACGTGGTGTTCCCAGGCGGTCACCCATCCAGGTACTGACCACGCTCAACGTTGCTTAACTTCAGTGATCAGACGAGAACTGGTGTTTTCAACGTGATATGGCCGTAGGCACCGATGAGCACCAGTCAATCCTCGAGCGACTGTGCTCTTCCCTGGTGCTCGCCAAAAATAGAGACCAATGACGATGAGCTAAAATATAAATGAGCACCAAAATGGCTCTTTTTAAATATTAAAAAATATTAATCAATAAAACAAAAAATTAAAAAAGATGAATTTTGGTGCTCATTTATTTTTGAGCTCATTGGTCTCTATTTTTGGCGAGCACCAGGGAGGAGCACAGTCGCTCGAGGATTGTGTGGTGCTCATCGGTGCCTACGGCCATATCACGTTGAAAACACCAGTTCTCGTCTGATCACTGAAGTTAAGCAACGTTGAGCGTGGTTAGTACCTGGATGGGTGACCGCCTGGGAACACCACGTGCTGTAGGCGCAATTTCCTTTTAAATTTTGAAAAGAATTGAAGATATTTTAATTTTAGTACTAATATTTATACTATCGTTTATTTGTCATATGCTCAGTAACATCATTAAGACATCGATCGAATAAATTTATTCAAACTTTAAAACTTTCCAATTTTTGTTATATTTTGAAAATCCGCTCAATTTATTTAGTTTCAAAGATTTGTTTGTGGTTTGATGCAGGGCAACTTTGCCCAAACTAAGAACTCAGTAAAAATGATCTCAGCAGCTGTAGCAAAGTTTCTTTTGGTTTCTTTAAAGATTTTAGATTATTTAATTTATCCATATAAAAATTTCATGAAATGTTTGTAATTTTTTTCATAACGAGTGAAAGAAAAAAATTTTAAAATTGCAAATTATGAATATATGAAACCTGATCTCCTCTATTACTCACAACAAAATTTCGCTCACGGAAATATCCATTCAGCACAACTCATTTCATTGTTTTTCTGACCCTCCTTTCAACCCGTTCACTTTTCATCTGCCGCGCGCTCACCAGATTCTCATTCATGCTTTTTTCGACTGAACATTTGCTGCAGCAGCAGCGGCGGCGCGGCAGCAGCAGCAGCGACAACAATAATAATAAACAAAGATCAAATTTCAAATGTTGTCTGCCGGTAATAAATAGGCTGGATGAGAATCTTAAACCTTAACGACTACAGCTTACATGACATAATGGGGTTCTCCTAAATCAGATAAACCCAGGTAAGCTATTATAAAAAAGAGGATATAAGCGCGGCTCACTTTATACGCAAAATTATCACTATGCTCTTCTGCACCTTTACAGATACATTTTGATGGTGTGGAGGAGAAAACAAATTTATAGTCATTGCGCAAGTAATGAAGCACATAAATCTTCCCTTTAAAATTTTTAAATTGAAAAGGTAAAAAAAGAAATAATATTCTTGCCTTAATTTTAAATTAATTAATTATTTTCTTATACATTTTAGACGAATTTATTGGATGAAATTTAAAAGAACAGTTGTTTTAATTTTAAATTAACAAATTGTGAAGAAAAAATATTAAAACTCTATAACTATACAGTACTTAATTTTACTGAAGGAAATCTCATGAAACTTCTCAGTAATCCACTTCCGTAAATAATTACAGGGTAAGGAGGATGTAGGTTATTTTTTTTTAAAAATTGAATTTTGTTGACAATAAAATGTATATTTCTTTAAATCAAAAGTTATTTTTATTCTTCTTGAAATAAGGTTCTAAGATTTACAAAGTAACATTTTTTTTTTGAAAATTTTAAGTACAAAAAATATGTCTATTTGTTTTTGTTATTAATATTTAAATTAAATGCAGCTTTTAATCAGTGATTTAATTTTTTAAAGTTATACTAATTTAATACTTAATTATAATATGCCAAAAAATATACAAAAAACTTGAGGTTGTACGTAATTTTGTAACTCTGTTCTCAAGAGTCATATTTAGCAATTAATTTCAAGCAGTCCATATTATATTTTTACTTTAAATAAATTGAAGGTTCCTTGGTGAAGAAAAATTCTTTTCATATTATATTGCATATGATACAGCCATTTTCCATAAAATAAATTTAGCAAAATACTGACTTTGAGTTTAAGGATTTATTGTTCAAAATGAAGACAGTACATAAGTTTAGTGTGGTGTAACGTCATAAATCACACGAGCCGCGACATAATTTGCAGAGTTAATGAAGATAATGATCTGCAGAGCATTGTAAAAGAGGAGTTGTTCATGCAATTTGCGGGCTCTTTCCGCGAGCCGGCCAAGATCCTGCAGCGCGCAAAAAATGTGCGAAAATGTTTGGGGGCGGTGTTTATGAATAAATCCGAGGCAGGTGGGAGGGATCAAAGAAAAAATTCCGTGGAGGTCAGGTAGTACCTTCAGCCAGAAGGTACGTATTACCGCGCGCCGTTCGGCTCTCCGAGAGATGTGTAGTGGCTTTGTCCTTAGAAGGAAGGTGGACCTTTCAAGAAGGCAAACTCACTCAAATAACACGCTCACTATTACAATAGCAATTCCAATCTGCAACGCGGAAATTTCTCAGAACTCTATTAGCATTTCAAATTTCGCCGTCATAAATAATCCGGCTGCCTCCGTGCTTTTTTCAGCTGCTTTAATTTTTTGTTTTTGCACCCGAGTTGCTTTTCCGAAAAAATAATTCAGCAGCTGTTGCCCGAGAGCGTCTTTCCCCAATAAGGGGTTTTTGCCAGGACTCTGCTCTCTCAGATTGCCATTTAATGACTCAAAATAGGAGATTAATTCCTCGGTGCGGCGCCACCAGAGAGTTTCTCCGATAGCCAATAACGCCTGCGAAAGACAGAAAAAAAATGCCGAGAGTGGCAAAAAATGGGCAATATATTTGCTAGAGAGAGAGGAACGTCTATTGGAATATTGGCTGATGCCGGGAGCACCGAGCGCTCTTCCAATGTACGTCAATTTTTTGTCTCGAAGAAGCAGCGATGCAAAATTATTCGCTACATATTTGTGGCTGAAGAAGAAGATGCTCACTGCCTCTATGGATGTGAGTTGGAGATGGGCAATTTCCTCGCACAGATTGAGGAGGGCACAAGAATGAGATGCTTTTCCTCAAATGAATTTTTACTCGTGGAGATTCTGTTTTAATTAAATTTATAATTATTTATTTTATATTGTTAAATTTAATTTATAAAAAAATATAATATATTTCAAAAAGAAATTTCAGTTCTAAATTTTGAAAAATCTTGAGCATAATCATTTTCAGCTTTTTTTAGATCTGTTTTCTTTGTGTAATCTTCCTGAAAGAAATCCAATTCTGAAGACAGGAATTTATTTTTGTTCTTTGGAGAACTGGTCAATGAAGAGGATTGCATTTTATTAAAAAAAAAAAAATTAAATTTTCTCCAAATAAATTAGGCATAAAATGATTGTGAAAATGTTTAAACAGGTGTAATTGTATTTGTCATTTTTAAAGTTTGCCCTCAAGCAGCCCATAAGGAATTACTTGTTGACCAAAAAACGTTTGGGCTACCACTTTTTCTGTTTGCTGGTTTCTTTCAAATTTCTTTATAATTGCAGGTTGGTTGTACCTGTGTGTGTGAATTTAAGTTGTGTTCATTTTAGGAAATATGAAAGTTAAATATTGTAGTACTAGATCGTTCACTTCTAGGCCGCAGTTATCACATATATTAGCCAGAGAGTGTACAAGGCTGCAATAAAGCGACGAGAGACTTTTTTTGCCCACGTTTAAAAATTCATATTTCAATAAATCAAGTGGTATGCGTGGAATATTAAACCGCAGAAACGGGATTCGTTTTCAGCGAGTCTGGCCGCTTTCTCTGGTGCGTCTCCGAGTTATAGCGCAGACAAAATAACGCGTGTCTGCAGCACACACATCTTTAATTGATTCGCGGTTGATAGGGTCAAGTACCTGAAAATCATTTATTTTGTTAATGGCTGCGTCCGAATCAAATTAATTACACCGGCGGATCGTGGAGACGCGTCGCCTCGCCGGAGATAAATCTCCCGACGCGAAGAGCATTCCCGTGTATTTAGAAGCGCGCGCGGCCATCATCGGAATATTTGGCTAGAAATCGCAGCCCGCGGCGCCTCGACCGCGCTTCTTCTTCTCTGCTGCGTTTAAATGGAAAATATTTTCTTTGAAGCGTTTTTATGAATTCGGCTGCTGATGCTGCGTCAGACTGCATGCAATCTCGCCAAGGTGTCAAATTAAATAAATTTCAATTTAATGAGCCGGCTTAATGGGCGCAATAAAACCGACACCAGATACCTGGCAGGCCCTTCGGCGGTGTTTGTACCTTTTCCACCTAGAGAGACGCAAGCCTTGGTGTAGAAGGAGAAACGGAGGCGCGTGTAGATTATCATATTTTTATGGTAATAAATTTAGTCACAAGAATCTGTGCAAAGTTTTGGCACGAAGATGTACAAAATGTAAAAGGATCAAGCAGGTCAAATTTTTGTATTATTTTATTCTTACAGTGAACAAAGTTCATGACTGACGTCAAATTGGGGGAAAACAATGCACCCCACACCCCACAAAGCATCAAACCAAGAATATATATGGTGTACAGATAATTTTCCTGCCGAATTTATGTAAAATTCTAGTGAAAGTTTTTTGAGATTTTCGTTTCTCTTCTCTAGAATACATTATATGTCTTAAAAAAATAAAAAACAAAAAAAATTCGAATTCAACTGTAATTTAAAACAAAATTTTCAACTGGGGCGCTAAATTTAATCCTGTTTATCAATTCATAAACGTCCCTTTGATTTGAATGGCAATTTCTTCATTCAAACTAAAAGCACTATTTATTTTATTAATTTTTTCTGAGAGCTGAAATGCATTTTTTTAAATTCAATCTCATTTACTCTTTCCAGAAAACCAGTGTTTTGATTGATTGGAAATGATAAT